GGGAGGTAGGGAAGAAAATACATAGAAGTAAATGTAAGGGAATGATAAAAACCAAAACTTATAATTATTATCATAATGCCGTTAAGAGAAAATGCACCTTTGGCATATTTCGTAATGGCTCAAAGGAGCTATTCAGGTCAAATTTTCCCAAGAAGAGTTCAAATTTTTTCCAGGTAATAGGTTATGATTTGATGTGTGGTAAATTGGGATATACCTAAAATATATTGAACACTTAATTATGCCAGTGTCTTAGTCTTCTTGGGTTGCTGTAACAAAGGACCATAGCCTGGGTGGCTTACACAAAGGACAATTGTTTGTCACAGTTCTGAATGCTGAGGAGTCCAAGATCGAGATGACGGCAGAAGGTACAGCTTCCTGGCTTGTAGACAGCTGCCTTCCCACCGTGTGCTCATGTGGGCTTCCCTTGATGTGTGCTCATGGAGAGTGGGGTGGAGGGGGAGAACGCTGTCCTGTCTCTTCCTCCTCTTTTTAGGGCACTAATTCCATCATGAGAGCACCACCCTTATGGCCTTATCTAAACCTAATTATTACACCTCCCAAAGTTTCCAATTCCTAATACCATGGCATTCGATGTTAGGGTGTCAGTGTACGAGTGTGAGGGTGTAGGGGACAGAACACAGACATGAAGTTCACAGCAGCCAGGTTGTGGGGTAAGTTTATGCCTTTTCTCTCCTCATTAGGGTATGAGGAAATTAGGATTTCAACCTCATAGGGAAAAAATTGAGTTTCAGAGAGCCTAACACATTGCTGGAGGTTGCTCTGTGTGAAGCTGCCACAGGGTTGCTAAGCCAGGAGTTTGCCTCAGTCTGTGCTCTTTCCCACCAGAGAGGTAGAGGGACCCTCACATATGTCAGAACTCAGTTTGAATTCCTGGATTTGAGTCCTGATTCTGTTACTTTAGTTTTAGGACTTTGGACAGGTCACCTAATTTTATGATTCTAATGCCCGAGAAGCCTAATGGGGTATCTTTCTTTTCAGCTCCAATGAGGAAGAGGATAGTTTCTTCAATCCAAAAATGGATACCTGGAGCCTACCCTGGGCTCTGCCTTAGTTTACACTCAGGGTGTTTGCAATGGGTCGACAGGCCCTTCCCTCCGTAAAGCCTACTCTCTACTGGGGGAGATGGAAAAATATTTTAAAACAAATTAAAAGGATAATTTCAGCCAGTCATGAATTCTATGAAGAAAATAGAAGACTCATTTTAACTTGGGTCTGGGAAGGTCTGGATTATAGGACAACGGAACCATGCAGAGCTCTGGGGAGAGAATATTCAATGCACAGAGAAGGGCAATTGCAGAGACTGCAGGAGGAGAAATACTGATGCTTCCTTCTAAGAAAAGGGTAGAATTTTTGGTGTGTTCCGAGTAAAGAAGAGACTATTAGGAGATAAGAGGAAGGAGAGAGGTGGGAAAATAGAGATATCCCATCAGCGACACAGAAGAGGAGAAATAATATCTCAGCACACAAAACTGCATACAGACTACAAAACATATTGTGAGATGTAAGTGTTGAAGATGAATTGAGAGCCAGAATAATGGGGCAAAAGTCAGAAGAAGAGAAGGAAGACGAATTGGGCTTTCCTACATACACACATCACTTGCTCACTCTCAGGAATAGTGAAAAATTCCACTCTAAAGTATAATAAGATTATATGTGTGTGTGTGTGTGTGTGTATACATATATGTATATAAAGCGATTGGGATTGGGGGGGAGTATTCCATATGTTCAGCGTGGGTGCGTGGGTGTTCAGATGAAACTCTCAACTATTGCCTGCCTGGGTTTTGTGAGGCAAAATTTATATGCTTGGCAATAATGGTAGCCTTTTTCTGTCTCATTTTCTCGGTTTTTCTTTCTCTCTCTCTCTCTCTCTCTCTCTCTCTGTGTGTGTGTGTGTGTGTGTGTGTGTGTGGTGTGTCTTTGGGAACTGTGGGGACAGAATATTCCACCCCAGCCGGCAGCTGTATATCTTTCAAACGGTGGTTCCACAGGCCAAATCCCCCTCCAAATTATTTATGACTCCCATTGAAGCAGGCAGGATTCAGGCGCCAATGCAGGAGGTCGGCAATGGCCTCTTTGTTGGACACAGGTCATCAGGAGACGACTCTGGCTGTGACTGCTGTGTGAACCTCCGCTGCCGTAGAAATGGTTATGTAACTTTAAACAGTAATGACATTTTGCAGAAAAGTGCTTTTTAATTGCTACGTCTTCATTATTCTCTTTCGAAATTGCCCAGGAGATTCTGCCTCAGAGACAGCTCGGCATGTTCTGAGTTTCCATTTTTAAAGAGCAGCCAGTTTTGTGTTTCAGCTGCTCCCAGAAAACCCCCAACCCCAAACTTCATCTGTTTTCAGTTGCATTAAATGGGGTAGGTAATGCTGCCTTTTGTATCCTTGCCAAATGGAGAAATGATTTGACGCAATTTTCTAAAAATGCTCTCCCAAAATTCCTTTTGGGCTGGGACCAAGAATAGAATATTTTATCCCCTACAAAAGGGAGCAAGAAAATGATGAGCCAGCTAGAAAAAACAGGACTGAGAATATAGTCTATAGAGTTCCTTTAAGCATTGGAATCTTAACCCCAATCCATAGACCCAGTTGCCTGTAGGGGATTGGTATCAGCTAAAAATAAGTTTTGCTCTGGAAGAGAAAATGGTGATATAGATAAAATGACTCAATAATGCAAACTCCAAAAGAACTGTAGCCTTGGTTCAGAAGGCACTTACAGCTTGATTTGTTTTGTCCCACCTTTTGGTATCTGTACCCTACCCCCCTGTGCAGTAGCCCTTCCAAGCAATCACTCAAACTCATAGGACCCCTTACTCATTGGTACAGAGCACACCCAGACTTACAACAGACCACCGTCCAAGGGCATAGCTCAAACGATTAGAGTCCCTTCCACACATCTTGACTTACGCACCTTCTTCCACAGGCCACCCAGCAGTGCTGGCTCAACAGGCATAGAATTCTAAACCCTCCTCCCTGTGCAAGCCCTCTAAATAGCTGACGACTGCCTCCTGATTAAATACCCATAGCTATTCCTTCCTTTATCCTCAAGGTTTTGTTAAACCTTTAAAAACTTTAATCTGAGGAGTGGCACCATCATCATCACATCAAAAATAAGAATAGGTAACATTTATTCTTGGCTTACTATGTGCCAGGATTGGTTCCAGACAATTTGCCGGGGTTCTTTCCTTCAGTCTTCTCAATCATGCTCTGAGGTGGGTACTAAGAGTACCTCCATTTTGCAGAAGAAAAAGTGGAGCTGAACAATTTTCTAGAGGTGACCTAGGGAGCCAGTAGAGGAGTCCGACTGCAGCCGTGCGCAGCTCTGGACTGCGGGGTTGTGGTTTCCTGCATCCGCCGTGCTGGAGGCACCGTCTGCTTTCCCACAATGCCCCTCTGAAAACATCCTTTTTTAGCTGTCTTATGGAGGCAGATTGAACTGATGGGGCTTCATTATTTGAAGAAAAGAGAGGGAAAGATTTTTAAAAAAATCTAGAAACACAGCTGTGAAGTAGAAGTGAAAGAAATGCTGATTTTATTCAGCGAGTCCCCGATGAGTAGGATTAGGGGGTGTCCCTGAAGCATGAATGAGGCAAAACAATAATCCAAATAAGAATACAGTTCTCTTTTACACTGTGGGTAGTAAAACCATTGCCTTATATGCATTGGAGGCTAAAACTATTAGCAGCTCCAGATGAGGGGAAGAGAAATGTCCCAGGTGAAAGGGCCTTAATGAATTAAGTTAGCTCAGACTTGCTCTTCTATCCGGGTACCACAGACAACAGCCTGCTGTGCTAACATTTCAAGGGTACCAGAGTAGCGCCCATACCCTGATAAATCCTCCTCCATCATTGGCTCCCAGGAATAAGTCTTTGATTATTTAAATACAGAGAAAAGATCATGAGATGTGATCAAGAGGGTCCCTCTCATAACCATGGGCTAGTAATTCCCCCCTTGATGGGCCATGGCTTCTTTACTTCCAGAGCCAAGAAGGGAAAATGAATTACTTCCGATGTCTGTCCTTAGTGATATTCTAGTGTTTATGATAACATGGTCCTATTGAATTATATCGCTCTGAGTATATCACTCTTACCCTTCACAGCTACTAGTGTATAGCCATGAGCCACCAGGTAAAGTCAAAATTCCTTAGCATATAGTAAAGTCCTTTGCATTCAGCCTCTGCCCCTCTCTCTACACAACCTGTTTTCCTACAGCACTGCACCCCAGCCCGTCGACGTCTATTTCATTCACTAGGAATGCCCAAGTACATTGCATCTTCCCTCATTTTAGAATGTCCTTCCTGTTCTCCCCTTCACATGGTGATCTCTGACTTGCTTTTCAGCCAGCCCAAATTCTGTCTCCTCTCAGAAGGTTTCCCTGCTACCCGAACAATGTTATTTGCAGTCTTCTGCTGCTCAGTTTTCTCGTATGGCTGTGTGTTCTATAGGCCTATAAAGCTATGTTATGATGATGTGTGTCCATGTCTATCATTGCTGATGATATTGTAAACTCCCCAAGGGCAAGGATTGTGTCTTTTTTTAATCTCTATAGGCCCAGTGCCCAGCTCAGGAGTTGTGCTTCATAAATAGGGTTTATAAATATTTTAGGAGAGGAAAGGAAAGGAATGAAGGAAATAAGGAATGACAAACAATAATGTTATCCTTTCAATAAGGGTTTTCTCCCAAAATAGAAAAGGTACGTACCATAGCTGGCTCTAACTTCTGTCCTACGATCACAGAATAGAGTATGTACTTCAGAGATGGCCAAGGCCATGACCTGAGAAGTTTAAGTAAAAGTGCTGCAATTGGAGGCCTCACCGATTATGCCGTCTGGATCTAGGTAGATCCAGAAATATTTTGGTTCCAATGCACAGGGAGAAATCTAGCAGCTTCAGATTCTCGTGTATCACCTTTGCAAACTGTTAATGAAACACCTTTTTTTAACCTTTCTGTTTCCCCTTCTTGCTATTCTCAACAGGTCTTCAGATAATCTTTCCTCAGTATCTGCAAGAGAAGTTCGTCCAGTCGGCCCTGAGCTACATCATGTGCAACGGCGAGGGGGAGTACCTGTGCCAGAACAGCCAGTGTCGCTGCCAGTGCGCCGAGGAGTTCCCGCAGTGCAACTGCCCCATCACCGACATCCAGATCATGGAGTACACGCTGGCCAACATGGCCAAGTCCTGGGCCGAAGCTTACAAAGACCTGGAGAACTCAGGTAGCGCCTCACTAGTGCCACTGCACGAATGGCCTTGAGCCCAGTCTGAAAAGGGAACTAATCCAACTGGAATTAGGACGACTGTCAGGGAAAACCCAGTGACCCCAACTCTTTCTCTTTGGAGGGCCCAGAGCCAGGTATAGTAGCTGTCACAGCGTAGGCACTCAATAAATCTCTACTGAGTGAAATAATGAAGAGCATAATCCAGTTTGTGGTCATGGCATGTATTGTCTCTGGTGTACCCAGAAGACAGAGAGAATACATCTGCACAGGACGTCTCTAGAGAGAGGAGAGTCAAAGGTAGTTGTATTGACTCCTGGGTCTGTGTGTGTGTATTTGTGTGTGTGTATGTGTGTCCCTCTATAAAATGATAGTCAAACACACACCTCTATGTGTATATATGTATATGCATGTGTATATACGTATGTGCGTATAGGTATAGATATAAATGTTCAAAGAATCCACAGACTGTTGAAGCTGGAAGTCACTTCTCTGGGAACTTAGTTGTTTTCTGCTTTTCATGGTTCAGAAAAATGAATATCAGAGAAAGAGAGTCAGTCATCCAAGGTCATAAAGTGGGCAAAGTCCAAAGTTGTATCTTTGCCTTTATAGAGCTTTTGTTATTTTTTTCTTTTTTTTCAGCAAGCCAGGCATTAATTATATAACCATGTAGATGATTATGAAATTACAAGGGTACAGTGTGAAGAAGGGGGAGCTGCTATGAGCAAATGATGTGGAGTTGGGGTTTGATGTGGTCAGGAAAGGCTACCTTGAGGGAGGGCAGAAGTCGAAGTATCTGACTGTGGTCAGGTGTCAGAGAGTGAGTTCAGGCAGACCCAGGGGAGGCACAAGGGCCCTGGGAGAGAGATGGCCATGATGTGGATTGGGAAGATGGTACAAGCAGTAAAAACAGGAAATGCACAGAGATGCCAGGATATTAAGAAGTAAAAATTGGCAGGGCTCGATGTTAGATTGGCTGTGAGAATTGAAGAGAAGAGTGGTATTGCGGTGTTATCTAAGAACTTCTTTTAGATATGCGTGTTAGATAACTTAATGGATATTGGTATCCTTCACTGAGCTAGAACCCCCTGGAAGGTTTGGAAAGGGGACCATGTGCTCACTTTTAGACGTGACAAACTTAAGAATCCTTGAGCCTTCCAAGAGGAGATTCTAAGCACATTGTATATAATACATGCTCAAATGTCTGTTAGGTAAATGGACGTATACATAGAGCATTTCTGTTTTAAAACAACTTCATAGTCCTTCAATCTGTTACAACAACCACTTTAAAGCAAACAGGAATATTCCTGTTGTATAGAGGAGGGAAGACACCAAGACCCAGTGTCCTCCGCAGGGTTACACAGTTGGTAAATGACAGCGTTGGTAATGGAATCCCTGATTCCAAATTCAGTGCTCAAAACAGCTTTTGTATCTTATTAATTCTACTTTACCCACCCCCAGGCTTTAGGTTCCCTCATCTGATAAATGAGAGGACATGTTTGTGTTTTTAATATTTGAATTTATTTAAGTCTTTAGCCAAGAAACTCTTTGATCAAACAAAATCTTACCTTGGAGCTGCTGTGTACCACAGATAAAAGCAGAGTTCTGTAAAGCAGCATTTGCAAACAACTGGGTTTCCATAAAGTCTAAGCCCCAAATCAGCTCTGGGAGCCCAGGAAGCATCAGGAATTCTGCTCTTATAGGGCCATGGAGCTCCAATGGGGCTGCGAGTGCCTCGTGAACCTGCACCCATTAGTCCATTTAAAATCCTGAGAGTCCCTATAAGAGACAAGATCATGATGGAAATGTATTATGAGCATTATTTGTCCCCAAATAAAAGAAGAATTTGAAAAAAATGCTTTTGCAAAGAGATTCTACTGATTGGTAAAAAACAGAGGGGGATGCAGGCTGCATGCCGAAGGAGTGGGACCTTTAGAATACAATTCTTACTCCCGAGGAAGAGAAACCACTTTGAGTGGGTCGGTGAGGAAACTGAGATGTTGCCAAAAGAGCTGACCAGACCAATGAAATGATTTAGGTCGTGCTTTCTCCCTATAAAGCATACATTCCCTCTAGATATCCTGTACTTGTGCATTTGAAATGGTTTTATTCATTAAGATAAATCCATCCATCTATACATTCATCCGTGGCTTGTGTAAGTGTTCCTTCCGTTCATTTTCGGCCTTTAACTTTAATGACTCAGCCCTGGGTAATTTGGAGGAATTCCTGACCAGCCCAAAGTAAAAGCCTTTGATTCCTGACTGTCGGTGGCCAAATGGGACTTAGTTTCTACGCATAAATGGCAGTTTATACCTCCCTCCTTTGTAGAGGGGGTTATACTCTACTTTTAGTCAAGAAAGTTAAAGCAATTAACTTTTAAATTCTATTTTCTTAGACTCAAATTTGGATTCAACAGAAGCACTGTTAGCCCCTTTGAGGTCAGCAGAACCCTCTGCAAGATGAGCTGCATGTCTTCCATGGGAGGACAGTCAGGCTGGCCAAAAGAGCACAGCGTCATTAGGGCCAGTCTCCTGCCTGCAGCCAGCTCACTGAATAAATCAACCAGCGTAGAGTCCCGTGTTTCCCCATGTGTCTTCCATGACCACCCATTGAGTACTTTCTCTCTATCAGGAACTATCTAGGCAAATGTAGTCCTATGTCACACTCTCAACCTTTGGACTAGATACGATTCTACCTGTTTGACAAATCGGGAACCTGAGGCCTTGAATAAATAAGGGTCCTACAGCTGTTCGGTGGTGAAGATGTGATTTGAACCCTTGCATGTCTAACTGTTCATAGTGAAGTGCCCAAGGTTTGCTAGGAGTCAGAGACTGCTGTTTTCATCACCTTTTTATGCGTGTTTTTCTTCTAATATACTGAGCCTCAGGATTGTCCTTTTTATATGCTGAGAGGAAAAGTAATAGCCTAAGTAAGAACATAGGATTTGACCATGGCCATTTGAAGTTTGCTAACTTTTTTGTGCCTGAGTTTCTATAAAATCGAGGCATTAAAACTACCTAGCTCATAGGTTTGCTGTAAAACTCAGTTATATGTGTTAGGTCGTTAGGTCTGTGCCTGGTGCCTATCAAGAACTATGTTAAGTATTTTTTAAATAAAATGAATGCATAATAAACCTTGAATCCCCATGTAGGTTTTATAACATGCAATGTAAGTGTTAGGCTGCAGATGTACGAGGGCTGTCTGGAAAATATCCAGTGATTACATCCATGTATCCGTTGCTGGATACTTTCCGGACAGCCCTTGTATATATTGTGTAATCCAGCCATTGGTCTTTTTTCCTACGAAAGGATCAACCCCTAAATTCTTTAATTTTCCCAGTAGTCGGAGGAGGAGGACAGTGCAGAGAGGGAGATAGGAATGTTAGATTTGAGAGCAACAGCTCAGGTCTTACACCTTGATCTCCTTGCTTATCAGCTGTGCTACCTTCAGAAAAGCATTTTACTACCTTGGGCTTCAGTTTTTCTGCACGGAGAACAGGAAAGCTGAACTAGACAATTTCCAAGGCTGTGTCAAGTTGTAGCCTTACAGGCTGACACTGAAATGCAACATCACACACTGAGGCAGAAACTTTCACCTGGGAGACACCAGACTTTGTCATTTTCTTTCAAGCTGCAGTTTTCCAAAACGTGAGATGATGCTGGATAGAACACACATACAGCTTCAGATAGCACTGGATCACTGAGTGGGGAGGTTGATCCATTTTTTTTTTTTTTTTTTTTTAGTTCTCTGTCAAACCTGCAGATTACATCAAAGAGAAAGTTTCAATTTGGTGCTAACATGCCTTTAACACCTCTCGTACACTTGCTAATTTCCTGTATTTCAAAGTGATAGCAGGCATGGAAGTTTGATCATTTAGCAGGCAACAGTAGCTGAGTAGAATTTACTAACATTGTTTTCATCATATTTATTTTTACAGCTGCCAGTCTACTGAAGGCATGCAATAGTGACTTTCTACATAGAACTGGATAAAAATGTTTTCAATTTTTAAGCAAAAAAGTGTGATTTGATTCAAAGAAAATGTTAAGTAAATAGAATGCTATGTGGGTATTATTATAACATTGGCATTCCAAGGACAGAAGTTTTGGAAGCCCGATCTTAAGCAAGGATGCAGTATGCATACTCACTTCATTTAAAAGCACAGTAGATTTTGTCCTGTCTAGTAGGGACAGAGCAGGCTGGTGCAATGTTCTACGGACCTCAGAAAGGCAGTTTTTTTTGGGGGTGGGGAGCGTGGTTTGTTTTTTTGTTTTTTGTTTTTTAGTATGTGCAGGCCTACTTTATTGGCAGGTGTGGCTAAGTATTTCCGGCAACTTCAGATGGGGGCTGTCATGTTTAGTCCTTCTCTCTTGGCCCTTGTCTTTTGCTAGATGAGTTTAAATCGTTTATGAAGCGTCTCCCCAGCAACCACTTCCTGACTATCGGGAGCATCCATCAGCACTGGGGCAACGATTGGGACTTGCAGAACCGCTACAAGCTCCTGCAGAGCGCCATGGAGGCACAGAGACAAAAGATCCAACGCACTGCCCGCAAGCTCTTCGGCCTTAGTGTACGCTGCCGCCACAATCCCAACCACCAGCTGCCTAGAGAGAGGTAAGTGCCGCCACCACCTCCAGCTCCGTGGGCACCTACCTGGCGGTAGCTGACGTTTGCTTGCTGCAGAGGTAAATGCAACAGAGATGGTGCATTTTGGGGTGGCAAGGAAGCCACACCAATGGTTCTACCTTCAGTTTTGTTTAAAGCCAAGAGCTCCACTCCTAGAAAGAATCAGACCATGTCATATGCACCTAGCAGGCTCTATGTCAGCCACATGTTTATGTTACCCTGTTGCACAGACCAGGAAATCGAAGCTCAGAAAGTTCAAGTAATTGGTGCAAAGCTATAATGTAAACCAGTGGTTCTCAGCTGGGGGTGACTTTGTCCCCAGGGAACATTTGGGATTGTCTTAAGACATTTTTGATTATCATAACAACAGAGGGAGCAGCACTACTGCACAGGGCAGCTCCCACAACAAGTAGTTATCTGGCCCCAAAAGTCAGTGGTGCTCAGGTTCAGCGATTCTGATGTACAGAAAAGTGATAAGTTTCCACCTAAATCTATAAATCTAAATCTTATCCTCTTAACCGTCCTCTTCTCTGTCGAGATTTGAAATCCACTATACCCTCCTAAGCAGTCCCTTCAACCTAACTACCCCATCCATGCACTTTTTCCTCTCATTTTTCTCAACTCAGAGCTAATGCTGCATCCTCCATGAAGTCTTTCCTGATTGCACCAGCCAATACAGAAGGCTCCTTATTTTAAGTTCCCATTAATCTAAAATCCCTTTCTTAGCAGCATATTTGTCTCTCTTTTCCCCTTTATGAAAACTCCTCCTTACACACTCGTTCACATTCATCTCTGTTTTCCCTATTCCCTCCAACGTCGAGTCTACTGCTTTGCATGTATTTGTTTGTGATAATTATTTTGTGAATGAGATAGAATTACTTCTGCCAAGTTCTTGTTTCAGTGCTGTTGAACCAGGGACTAGGAAAGGGGTCGTGTCACACAAAATGGCTTTCCTGTCCTGTGTGACGGATGCCCAACCTGCCACCATGATTGAGTCTCTGAAGTAGCTTCCATGTAGATCCATCAGCATCTGCCATGTGAGCTGCATTGGGCGCTGTGGAAGATTCAGAGATGATCACAGTGAACAGAGCAGTGAAAGATGTCTCTTGGAGCAGGCGTGGGGAGGGGTTCTGTTGGCGATCAGGAAAACCTCCCCATATGCATTAGTTTGCTAGGGCTGCCATAACTGAGTATTGTGGACTAGGTGGATTAAAGAACATAAATTTATTGTCTCACAATTTTGGAGACCAGAAGTTCGAGATCAAGGTGTCAGCAATGTTGGTTTCTTCTAGGGTCTCTCTCTTTGGCTTGTAGATGGTCATCTTCTCCGTGTGTCTTCACATCATCTTCCCTCTGTGTGCATCTGTGCCCTAATCTCCTCTTATTAAAATGATATCAGTCATATTGAATGAGGGCTGACCCTCGATGACCCCATTTTAACTTAATTACCACTTTAAAAACCCTATCTCCAAGTAAAGTCACATTCTGATGTTCTGGGAGTTAGGACTTTGACGCATGAGTCTGGGGGCAGGTGTAGTACATCTCATAACACCACAGAAGTTGGCTTTTGATCAGATCTTTAGGCGAAGAAACTGTGCATGCTAAGAATTATACAGGCTAAATGAAAATCTGGTCGAGGAAGGCAGCGTTTAACCATTACTAGGCTTCCAACAGATACATCTGTCCATTTTGTTGATTGTCACCTCAGAGAATGGAATGTAAAGTCCACGGGTCCAGAGACCCTGGGCGTGCACATTTATTAAAGGTGGGCAGAATCTGCACAGCACTGAGCACAGAGCATTATCAGGTAGGACAGGTCCAGGGAAGACTCAGGAGGACTCCAGAGGAGAGTAGCTGGACAGGTGTCAGAAGGGAGGAAGGAGGGACAAAACTGAGGGAAGAACGCCGGACGGAGTCAGGGGCCTGGATCTGAGACCATGGCCTACCGAGAGTGAGCTGTGTGACCCTGGGCGGGTCGCTTCGCTGTGCCGAGCACAGGTGTCCACATTTTGAATGACTCTCTTCTCTCCTTGTGCAAGCTGTCAGGTGTGGATGGCTAGAAACGCTCTGCCACCACTGGGACCTTCAAAGAAAGAGCTCCCAGTGTTGCCCCTTCTCCTCCTGAGAGGAGAAAACTTGCCCTAATCATAGCATTCTTCTCACCTGGAGAGGGTGTCCATAATCCCACCATTGGAGAGTCACTCAATTATATTAATTTGAGAGTATTGAATGCTGGGTCCTGACGGAAGGGGGGAGAGTACAGCTGGGCTCTGGCTCATTCCTCAGAAGCCTTCCCAGGAGAGCTGAACTTCCTTGGCCTGGCTGGGGGCTGCTTCCTGACACCTGCATCTGAGGCTTTAATGAGCATTTCTCACACCACAGGGCACCTCTCCGCCATGGGGGGTGTCAGACAGAGGTGCTAACACTGGGAACCTTGGGCCACCTCTAGCTGAGCGAGCTAGTGTTTGCAAATGAACTGATTGCGCGGCTTCAGTGTGTCTGCTTGCTGAGGTCTGTGCGAAGTGTGGGCACAGAGCAGGTGCCTATACGACAACGGGTGCTCGAAATTTTTACTTGTCCCAGGAAGGGTGGCATTGTTGAGGCAGAGTGGGAGAGGGAAGGAGGGAAAGAGCACCAGGCTTTAGCTGCACGGGGAATGGGTCCTGATCCCGGCTCCATCGCTTATCAGCCACAGAGCTTTATGGATGGCCTTGCACCTCATTTGCAAAATGGGATAATAACAGTTGCCTTCAGGTTAAGTATGAAAATTAAGATTTTAAAATTTAAAGAACCTAGTAAAGTGCCTGAATCAGTTAAAAGGGAGGAAGGGAGAGAAGAAGGGAGGAGCTGTCACTTAGTATATATATTCTAAAGGTCAAACTCTGTTCTTAAGCATCTTATATGAATTAACTAATTTCCTCCTCACTACAAGCTTATGAACTAGGCACTTTTACTATTTCTATTTTACAGATAAGGGAACTGAGGCACAGAGAAGTTAATAAAGTGCCCAAGGTCGATAAATGTTCATTAATTTATTGTTACTCCAAAGAAATGCGAAGAGTTAGATTTAGTGAGTGGTCGACTATAGATAATTAGTACTGGGCTTCAAGGCTTGTTAGAAACTTCATATTGGACCGGAAGGCGAAGGAGTATTTTGGTTATCTATTGATGCAAAACAATTCACCCCAAAACTTAGTAGCTCAAAACAACACTGTATAATTATCTCTAATGATTCTGCAGGTTGACTTGATAGAGCTGGCGGAGGTGGGGGGGGCTCTCTCATCTTGGCTGCGGCTGGTGTCATCTGGGGGCTTGACTGAGCCAGACCTCCAAACTGACTCACTCCCAGGGGTAGCATTTTGTGCTGGCTGTCAGCTGAGAGTGCAGCTGGGGCTGTCAACCAGAGTGCTACACACACCCTGTCCGTGTGGCCTGGGCCTCTTGCAGCATGGCAGCTGGGCTCAGAGAGGGAGCATCCTGAGACCAAAAACAAGCTGTAAAATTTTTTTGCAACTTTGCCTTGGAAGTCAGAGAGCATCATTTCTTCCATATTCTGGTGGCCAAAACCCTAGCCCAGATTCAAGGGTGTGGATATTGGGAGGTACAATTCATTGTGCTGTCTGGGAGAGTCTTTTTTGAGATTTGGTACCATAGGAAAAATTGAGTATAATTGGAGCTAGAGGAGACTATCCCAGTTATGGAGGAAATGAGGTTAATAGTAATAGCAATAATAATAGTAACAACAGCAATCACAAAGCAGCTATGAAGACAGGTAATAGAGCTGGCTATGTGTAAAGATTCTGGAATTAGACTGCCTGGGTTCACATCTCATCTTTGTTACCTGCTTACATGTTAACTCTGAGGGAGCTTACTAACATCTTTGAGCCTCAATTTCCTCATCTGTAAAATGGAGCTAATAATAGTGCCTATATCATAGGGCTGTTTTAACGATTAGGTGCTTTAACCCACATAGAGTCCTTAGAACAGTCATTGGCACCTGGAAAACATTCAAGACATGTTAGTTGTTTTTCTTAATGGTTTTTCTTTTTCCCCAAGCACTGGTATTTTGCATTTAAATTTCTTAGCACACAGTAATCACCCAATGAGACTGAGTATTGATGATGATGACATGTTTTTCACCTAATCCTCATGTTCGCTCTATGAAGTAGATGCTATTGGATCTGTTCTATGGATGTGGGAACTGATGAGGCAGAGATGTAATTAGTTTATCCAAGATCACTTAGCAGGTAAGTAGCAGGATTAGAATTATCTTGTTGGCCCCACTGGTGAGCTTGGTAAAGAAGATTCTTGTGTAGAGCAGCAAGAGTCCATGTCGTCTGTGTAGTGTGCAGCGGTAAAGAGAGATGACCGTCCTGTGGTTGGCAGAGTGTGGTGAGACCGAAGGCAGGGTTCGCTCGTCAAGGTTCGGGGCAGTAGACCAGTTTATAGGCTCCAGTCTACTGTGCTGAGATTCGGGAAATGGCCCCAGTTGTGCAGCCCTGAATCAACTGTAGAGCCTCAGTTTATCCCACTTTATGAATGGAGAAATTAAGGTACAGAGATTTTAAATGACTTGCTGAAGATTATACAGCAGATAGGAGGCAGGATTCAAACCCAGGTAGGATGCCTTCTTGTAACCTCTATGCTATTCTACTTGCCCCTGAGACAAGATGACTCGAGGTGTTCAGATGACCTGCCATGGCTAAAAACTGCATCTCATGGTAGTGGAAACTGCTTCTCATCGCAAAAGGTAGAGGGAGGGAAGGAGGGAGGGGAAAAAAGGAAAATAAGGAAAAAGGTAGGATGGAAGGGAGGGAGGGAGAAGAGAAAGAAAAAAAGCACAAAAATCATCTTGGGCAATGCTGAATTCAGCGGTCTTCTGTGCAATTTCTTGAATGTTCACTGACCACCTGGTCTCCCAGCCCTGTGCTAGACACTGGAAAATAGTTAAAGAAACAAGCAAGCGACAGTGCCTTTGTTTTCAAAAC